ATTTTTCTCAAAATAAAATATTTTGTGTTCAAAGGTGAAAAAATATGTTGTTTTCTACGCAGACATTTAAAAAGAGCATATATTAAAGCAGTAATCACAATACCGTGATACCGTAAAACAGTGATATTTTTTAGCCAAGGTTATCATACCGTCAGAATCCTATACCGACCCATGCCTAATTGCTACAGGACTGATAAACTGTAGGAAACGTTTTACCATAGTAAACTGTGGTGCATTGCAGTAGCTCTATAAATAGTTGAATAATATGTACATTGGGTAAATCATTTGACAAATCTTGTTGCATTACCTCAGCAGTTAACACAACAGATTAAATACTTTATAGTATGAGTAACTAGAAAACTAGAGCATACAGACTTGCCATAATGTACTATATTATAATGAAATGCTGTTTCAATGTTTGCACAACATTTCAAGAAATACAGAAATGAAACACATTAGGCTAATGATCAGACAAATCCGAATTGATAGCTACAATAAAATAATGTAAAAGTAAACAGAAATATTGGGGTAAAATTGTTTTTTTATTTGCACTTTCTCTTATTAATATACTTTCAGAAAAGTATTATTTTTATAAATTCTAAATAGGGAAATTATATTAGCAGCCAATGACTATCAAACTATAACATTGCTCACAGTCAATTAAATAGTGCTAACTTGCATGTGATTTTACAACTGATATAGCGAAGTGGCATTGTAAACAATAGGAAGACTTAAAATAAACAGATGTATTAATATAAAACCAACTTTATCTCAATAACAGAAATAATAACCTGTGGTTTTACCGCAAGATTTTAAACAGAGAGGTTTAATGATCATGAAATGTAAATGGTCAAACCAAAACAAGTGTTACTTAAGTTTCAGTTAAAATCTTTCTGGCCAACAAAAACAAAAGTTTGATCCTTTGTTCCTATTCTATTCTATTCTAAGTTCATGTTTGCTCTGTGTACACTCTCCGGAATAAAGGTTCAAAAGCTGTCACACTGTGGTGAAAGTTTCAGAAGGTTCACTTTTGTGATTGGGGCATGTTTTCACTTAGGCCCCGTTTACACTATTATGTTTTTAGTTTTCAAATGGTGTTTTAGGGCCTACTCACACTATGCTATCCGAACTGTGCCCAGGCCTGTTTCCCGAATCGTTTGAGAAGTGTGAGTGCACTGAATTGGGCTCAAGCACTGTTCACTTGGCCGGCCCTGGCCCGGTTGGAAGAGGTGTGCCTGAGCGCGGTACACTTGGGCTTTGGCGCGGTACGCTTGTGTGTGAGTGCAAAACGCGCCAAAGCCCGAAACTGAAAGCGAGACGTGACTTTTAAGGGGCTGTTTCATATGGATTTATTAATCATTCTTACTGTTCAGTGAACGCAAACTGCTGTAGATTATTAAAGACGCAAACCCCTCACTGCTCGTCAGCTGCACGGCTTCAGCAGACCTCCTCATTCCTGCAGCACGAAAGCTTTATGATTGTTTATGAGCGCCAAAAGAGGCGGATCTGTCCGGTGAAATATCTGATTGCGTGTCACCACATCCCTAAGGACTGTTTGGCGAAATATTTGACTGCATGTCACTGCATAACAAACGACTGAAACGATATAACTAGAGAAATCTCCACTGTGCTGCTGAGTGAGAGAGTGCTTCTTATTGAACAGCGCAGCAGCGATGACGTAAGCGTGCCCAGGCCCATTTGTGGTGTGAGTGCGGGCCGTCGGGGGAGACGGGAGGGGGGACAATCGTGCTTTGGCCTGGTTCGAGGCAGCTGTACCTAGTGTGCTTTTATTCTAGGCCTTAAGCCTGATTTATACTTCTGCGTCAGGTGACCGGCGTAACCCAGGGCGCATGCAACGCGCGTAGCTGTGCATTTATACTTCTGCGCGCTGTCTCTGTCGGTCTGCATTAACACTTCTGAAACGCTTTTTGGCAGTAAGGTGTAAATGTTCCTCTTTGTCGAGTTTCTTCGCTACTTTTTTGCATTTCCTGAACACTTCTGGGATGTACAAGTGGCTCAAACTCGCTCATTTTGAGGCAGGAACCGGCAGATGTGTTTAACTATGAGGTAAACACAAAACAAAACTTTCCATCCGGAGCTCCTTCACGGGACTCCACACTTTTAAACAATCGCTCGCGCGGCTCTCAGTCCCGCCATGTCTTGTCAGCGCTACCAAGCCGACCAATCACAGAGTTTACGCTACGCGTCGTTGCGACGTGTAGTTACATTTTTTAAGAGGTGCACGTCAGCGACGGCGATGGCCACGGCGAAGGGCTATGCGTCAGCGCCGTAGCATACGCCGGTGTTTGACGCAGAAGTATAAATCAGCCCTTAGAATGAAAACGATCTGCATCCACACTTGTGTTTCACCCAGTGTTTCTGAACAACTCTCCGTCCACACTACACCACTGAAAACACACATCACATGCAGGGCTGGAGCAAGCTGAACTGCCGCTCTAGGCAAAGGACGATCACGCCGCCCTCAACCCCAATGTGAAAACGAAAGTGAACGGTTATGAAAATGAAGTGAGATCTTCTCTTATCAAATAAAAAGTTTATCCTACCCAGTTAGGCGCATAAGTTTTTTATGCGCATTTTCAAAATTTATGCGCATCATGGCGTTTCCATCAACTGGTTTTTTTATGCGCATTTGCAAAATGCGCATAAAATAGGTGGATGGAAACATCGCTAAAGAGAACGAAAGGAGGCAGTTCAGTTATAGGCTCTGTTCTGTTATAAATATGCATATAGTGAAGATGACGCTCATATAAATATGCAGCACGACGCCTCAACATGTTTGGTGTCTGTTAAGTTGCTAATACCAAAATAAAAATAGGCAGTTCCTTATATCATTCATTTTATTGTTAAGTGAAGCAGTATAGCCAGGGTGATCTGAATAAGGTTATAAAGTACACTGTTCCCTTGGAAGATTTACCCGAAATGTCCACAGGTGTTTGTTTTTCATAACAAACTTGCGAAGTCTGAACTTACAAGGAGAGGATGCAAGACTGAACTGTGTGTGTTAGGCTACTTAATATTGAGGAAAAAGCCCCAATCAGATGGCCGAATGTCGGCAGCTCCGCCTCCGTTTTCAGATGTCTCCGTTTTCCCTTATCCACACTGAGACAGAGCAGCAGCATTTCAGAATGAAAACGACCTCGTCAGCATTTTCAAAACTCTGTTTTCTGCGATTGAAAAGTTCGGCGTACTGCGTAGTGTGAACAGATGGCGTAACCGTAGCAAAACTTATGCGTTTTAAAACGAAAACTTATTAGTGTAAACGGGCCATTGGTGATACAATTCAATACAGCACAGTTTACATATAGTTGTAGAAATTAATAGAGTATTGGCTTATTTATTTGTCAATATTACTAGTATTTTTGCATAACCACAGCAGATTATTATTAATATTATAACCTTTATTTTACCAGGAAAGACACATTTAGATTAAAAATCTCTTTTACAAGAGCGTCCAGGCCAAGATTAGGCAGTATACATGTCACACTTGTCTAACAAACAAAAAACAATTAACAGTTAACATGGATCACACTGATAAACTATTCAAAACATCTACAAGCCTGTGTTTCAACTTCTAAATCATTTATACTCTTTAAAATCTAAAATATTTAAAAGCATTTAGTGAAATCAGTTCTTTATACTGCAGCTTTGTTTGTAGATTTTTCCATGCAAAAGGTGCTGCGCGTTTAAAAGCCTTTTCCCCCATAAAGAGATTAACTCAGATACTTTACTGTAGTATGGTAACATCTGCTATACATTTACTTCATGCATTTTTTTTCAAGCAGGTGAAGTAAGGGAACATTAAATGCAGGAAGATGATGAAATGATGATCATAATATTGATCAGAAAAACCCATGTTTATAGTTAGAGTTTAGTTTAGTAGAATGTTACAGAACCCCAGAAGGGACGTAGTGGAGGAGAAAAAAATTGGCTGGGTGAAAAAAAAGGGTGAAAGAAAAAAAATGGGTGCGAGGAAAATATAGCTATATTTCTCTCGCAAAACTGTTTCTCCACAAACGCTTCAGGTTCACTTTCACTCACTTTCACTCACGTAAACCCTCCCGTTTTTTTCAAAAATTCTCCTATATTTTACCATTCTATCCCACTTTCTTTACATTAATACTGTGCGTCGATCGTCTCCTTTCATATGCAACCTCTGAAGCAGTAAATGCATGTATAAGCGCGGACTGACAGACGCGCTCCGTACAATAAACTGATCCCAGATCAGCGTCTGTACGCGCCATTTAAAGGGACACCTCTGTTATCAACAAAGCGAGCAGCAAATGAATCTCATGTTTTGTTTAGTTTGATAACAGAGGTGTCTCTGTAAGAATGCACAGATCTATAATGAAAGCAGTCCATTCCTGTAGAAAGTGTTTGTGATCATTTAAGAGAAAATTAGCTGTTTAAAATAAAACATGCAGGACGGAGAGGTTTACATGTTATTCAGTGTATTTGTCTGTTTAAACATACACCCGCTCCCCTGTGCTTCTCTGTAAATGGCGCGTACAGACGCTGATCTGGGATCAGTTTATTGTACGGAGCGCGTCTGTCAGTCCGCGCTTATACATGCATTCACTGCTTCAGAGGTTGCATATGAAAGGAGACGATCGACGCACAGTATTAATGAAAAGAAAGTGGGATAGAATTGTAAAATACGGGAGAATTTTGGCAAAAACGGGAGGGTTTACGTGAACAGGAAGTGTTTGTGGAGAAATTGTTTTGCGAGAGAACGCAAAACATCTTTGCGAGGAAACGCAAAACACTTTTGCGAGGGAACCCAAAACATAAAAATATATATTTTCCTCCCATCCATTTTTTTTTCTTTCACCCATTATTTTTTATTTACCCAGCCAATTTTTTTTTCTCCTCCACTATGTCCCTTCCGGGGTTCCGTAGAATGTAAACACTATGCTAAACTAAGTAGCTAGGCTACAAAAACAAGACTCTAATACTAATCATTAAAGGATGAAGATGCATACCTGTTTACATCTGAAAAAGCACAAACAGCCAGTGATGTGACCACTCTCTATAGAAACTGGAGTGCAGCCTCTTCATTTCTTCAGCATTCAACGTCATTCTTCTTCTTCTTCTTTTTGTTTTATGGCGACTAACTCATTAAAAGCATTATCGCCACCTACTGTACCGAGTCTTACTCTGATGATGGGTCTGAATATTACAAAGGGCAACAGAAAGAAACGAGGGAGGGAAAGGGACACACACACAAAAAAAAAAAAAAATTTCCTTGGATGTTTCATAGTCTCCAATCTTTGCATCTAGACCACATAGGCAAGGCAAGTTTATTTATATAGCACATTTCATACACAGTGGCAATTCAAAGTGCTTTACATAAACAAGAATAAAAGAAACAAGTAAAAAAAAAATAAATAAATAAAAACAAATAATAAAACTGATTAAAAAAACATAAAAACAGGTAAAATGTGATTTAAAAGAATGAAGAAGAAGAGAAAAACATGATAGTGCAATCTGTCGGACGCAGCACAGTGCTCATTCAGTAAAGGCACAGCTAAACAGATGTGTTTTCAGTCTTGATTTGAATGTGCCTAATGTTGGAGCACATCTGATAATTTCTGGAGGCTGATTTTAATCATACTCATGTCAGCACTGCTTGTTCAGCTCCTCTAACATAAAGGGCCTTTATGACAATGATTGAGTATACTCTCATCCATAAATATTAGACTATAATCTATAACCTAAACCCGAATACTCTATATACCTAAAAAACGCTCTATATACATGCCAATCTATTATACCTTTTCCTAGAATAATTTTATATATTGTTTTATCTTCCCCACACTGACTGAATAACATATCGCGATGTTTGTTATACTTGCTACAAATAAATAGTGCATGACCCACATTTTCAGTTACACCACATACATCACATTTCCCATCCTCATGTAAACCCATCAACGCAAGTGTTGCATTTAACCCTGTGTGTCCCAATCTTAATCTTGATAACCACACCTCTTCCTTCCTATTTCTTCCTTGATTTAGTGTTGTCCCCACTGTCTGTATAATACTATAGTGCCATCTTCCAGTACTATTATCCCATCTAATTTGCCATTTATTTATTAGTTTTTCCTTTAAAATCGATTTTGCCTCTCTTTTCCCCAGAGGTACATTTACCTCCACCTCTTGCTTATTTAGTGCTTCCTTTGCTAATTTGTCAGCAGCTTCATTACCAGATACCCCAATATGTGATGGAACCCAGCAGAAATAAACGACTACTCCTATTTCCTTCAATCGATATAAAGATAAATAGATTTCTGTTATTAAATCCTCTCTATCTGATTTTGAGTTTGCTAAGGCTGAAGATGAATCTGAGCAGATTACTACTTTGTTTGGTCTGACTTGTTCAACCCATGCTATAATTATAGCTGTTAACTCTGCAGTGTATACTGATAGATTACCGGACAATTTTAAACTAATGTTTACTTTGAACTCTGGAATATTAACACCTATTCCTATCTTTTTACTACTAGGTTCTTTGGAACCATCTGTAAAAATTTGTAAAGTTGAAAAATACTTATTATTTAAAATCGCATTTACTTCTTTTCCACTATATTCATCTTTAGGTTTATTTAGCAGGCTTACATCTATGAGTGGTTCAGGTGCTCTCCATAGTGGGATATCAGTAAGATGATCGCTTCCTATATTATTTCCAGAAACTGACCACTTAGATTTACCAGCTAGTGATGCTGAGACTATTGTAAGATCCAAGCATGATGCGCTACCTTTTCTTATATCTATTCTTGTTGGCTTGCCATCATTTAGGCACACTAAAGATTTCCCTTCCATAAAATATTATATTACTGCTCCATTTTTATCTGTTTTCCTACTACCCCAAATACTATTGTGTGCATTAAAATCACCACACACAATAATTTTATTTGATGTTTCACCTATAGTGCTTTCTAATTTGTCTACTGCTAATTCTAAACAAGGATTATAGAAGTTGACTATTCTGATTACCCCATGCTCACCCATTACTTCTATACATATGCTTTCTGTTTCACTTTTATTATTTACATACCTATAAATCACATTTTCTTTTATGAAAGTTGCACACCCTCCACCTCTACCATTATTCCTGTCTTTCCTTATTAGTTCATAACCATTCAGCTTGAAATTTAATGGTCTGCATAACCACGTTTCTTGAATACAAATTATATCAGGAGGTTTGCTCATATTTCCAATGTATTTTTTAAACTCCTGTCCATTAGCAATCAAACTTCTGGCATTCCAATGAAGCAATAGGAAAGACATGATAATGTTAAATATCACTACACTGGGATGCATCATAACTTACCCTCATATTCCACTCTTTCTTTCCTTCTTTTGCTTTTAATATCTTGTGGATTTGTTCAGCCGATATATCTGTACAATTCAGGAATTTGTTTGCACATTCTGCCACAATTTTAATCTTGTCAGACCTTCTTTCTACCTGTGCGGTGCCATTCACCACTGCACAAATGAATGCCACAAAGTCAATTTTCTTCACACTAATGTTATCAAGGAAGTCATTCTGAAGCATGCTCTTTTGTTTCTCAGATTCATTCACTTGAGAGTTTTGTACACGTTCCCTATGAGTTTGTGTTTCTGTCTGCTGTTTTACTTTACGAGCTGCTTCTGCATATGTTACATTTTGATTGGTCTTTACCTTTTGAATTTCACATGCCTGCTGCTGAACTGGGCATCCTGCATACGCAGCGCTGTGTTCGCCTCCACAGTTGCAGCATTTTAACTTAGTTCCTTCTCTACACTTCCCATACTGATGCTCTTCACCACATTTTGCACAACGCATTTTCCCTTTGCATGAAGCAGCTGAATGACCCATGCGTTGGCAGTTATAACAACGAAGAGGAGGAGGAACATATTCTCTTACCGTATAGCTGATGAAGCCTAGTTTCACCTTTGCTGGTAAATTTTTTTCCTCAAAGTGTATCAACACAGAAAGACTCTCACATTTTTTATTGTCCCTCCACATTATTAGTCTCCTGGCCATGCCAACCTTTCCTCCACTCAAGTTCCCTTTAATTTCCTCCATAGTTACATTTAAAGGTACACCTGAGATTACCCCACTCTTTTTTGACCCTACTTCAGTACAGTTTATTTTATCACCAGTAGGGATGTAACAGTATTGTAAATACCGTCATACAAATTTTTGAAAAATATAAATTTTTTTCGATATTACCGAAGTCGCATGACTCGGTAAAACTATAGGTCTTCTGAGAAAATTTGCTCAGGCGAATGAAGCGAACGGGAGGTAGCTGAAACTACATTTCCCATCAGCCCAGGCGTGGCCATAATCCTTTGCGGTCTGTTGTCGCTACAGATCCAGTAATGCGGAAATGGAGTGTGCTTCTAGTAGCGGAGATGAAAAAAAGATGGAAATGATCGAACCTAAAGCGGGTGTTGTCGCCGCGCGCGTACTGAATAGCGGTGTTGTCGCGGGAGTTCTGATCAGCGGTGTTGTCGCGCGCGTTCTGATCAGCTGTGTAGTCGCGCGCGTATTGTAAAGCGCCGAGGGGGGGTTGAGCACGCATACTCAAGAGCGGTGTTGTCGCGCACCTACTGAAGGGCTGGACGGAGGTTGTGTCGCGTCGCGGGGGCACTTTTGATCGTTTTGGTAGGGCATTTTCTATCCAAGACTAAAAAGGGCATGTGCACTGCACAGGTTGAGCACTGTGTGTGCACGTGCCTGCAAGTTGGGGAATACGTCTCAGTCATGGGGACTGCAGAAACACATCACACTGTTCAGATTGATGCAGACATTGACTTGTACCGCAAAGAGACCTCTATCTCACTCATGGTTTGTCTTCTCAAGTGGGGGAAAGACAATGCACAACGTTACCCACTGCTGTCAACCTGGACCAAGTCATATCTCTGTCCCAAAAACCTCAGTCCCAAATGAGAGGGTTTTTTTCTGTTGCAGGGGACATTGTAAATACCCAGAGATACCAGCTTTTACCAGATTATAGTTATATGATAATTTTCCTTTAAACCCATCTCTATCTAAGTGAGTGAGTGATTAAATGTTGAATGTGATGAGTTTTCAACAATACTAAATTGAAACTTTATTTTTTTACATGGTTTAATAATTTTTTGTTATTAAAATTGAAGTTAGTGTTTCAAAGCTTACAGATAGATGGCTAATTTGTATGTCATTGACACTTTTGGCCCTTTTTTGGAATATTTTCATAAGTTTTGTTTTTCCTGTAAATGATTCAATAATTACCGTACCGTGACATTCATACCGAGGTGAAATTCTGATACCGTTACATCCCTAATCACCAGCCAATGTTTTTAGTTTCATTATCTTTGCTTTTTGCATTTCGTCTATCGTTAATCAAAACTCTTCCATTACTTAGACATGTTGCCCCTTTTACTGATCCTATTTCTTTTTCTATTGCTTTTGATAGTTTAACAGGATGCACATATTGTTCTGACTGCTTGACAAAAGTGACCTAAGATTTTAATTTTTCTTTCCTCATTAACTGTCACTACCCTTCGTCCCGTCTCCTTATTTCCGCCTGAACACGCCTGCTCATATTCAGACTCATCACCCATGTTGTTTCCTTTTTTTCTTTTATTATATCGTACTTCATGAAATTCAGTTTCCTGATTGTCGTCATCCGATTCATCATCCATTGCGTCTACCCAAGACTTAAAGTTGTCCTTTCTGTTTTCTTTACCACGAGTATCCTCCAATTCGTAGCAGCGGCGTCCTCAGCGTCCTACCATACAGGCCACCTCCGAGCCAATCGCATTCAACGTCATACGAATGGTGCTGCTTATTTGTGCTGCAGGCACTTTTTTCCAGGGGTCTCAGTACAGCGTAACTGCTACTACGTCATCGGGTGGGCGTGGTCTATCTTTGAATTTGCATAGGTCACAGATTATGCGCAGATTGTAAAAACAGCCGGTTGATTCAGATACCTGTACGTAATCGCAGGGGTTTCGTGTCCAATGCCTTTTATATGCAGTACTTTAAAATAGCTTTTTTTCAGAAAGGAGGTTAAGTGAAAACGTATTTTAACCGTGAAATGAGAGAAACTCTGGATTTTCCGTTTCAAAATGGCAGGTTTGTTA